TTCCAGGTCTCGAATCCCATGCTACACCCTCTCCCAATGCGAATTGATTTCTGTTTGGGCTGCGAGCACCGGCAGACTGTTAAATCATTTAATATACCAATTATAACAAGTCGAGTAGTTAACATAAATCCTGCTATCCCCGCATTCAATGCAAAAGTTAAGTGATTTTTCGCACTGGGCCTTTTTTTATACTTGGCCGACGGCGACGTCGCCAAGAAATCAAAACTCATGCATTATGAATGCCAAAATTCTCTGACGTGGTCAATTCCAATTTTTATTTATTTTATTGCCTCTAATGCATTGGCGCACTGCCTGGCAAATAAATAAATATTGGAAATAGCAACAAAAGCATGACATTTCCAAAAAGGAACCCACTCTGCATATGGAGAGAGAGCAACAATGTGTGATGGAGGTAGTAGCGTGACACGGGGTTTTATGAGATTATATTTATAGCCTAGTATTTTGATTTATTATTACTTTTTTTTTTTTAAATTCATTTTTAATAAGACTTTAAAACATATGATAAACGATATCATTTTAACAAGGCTAAGGATGTTTGTTCTGAAGGTTGTCTTTTAATTTCTTAATTTTCAGTTGAAGAAGTGTAAACCTAGAACTATGTGATACTTATTTCAAATTATACAATAATAGTCAATCATAGTACGAAGAGAACTTTTCTTACGTTTTATTAACCTTTATTAACACACTTCTTTGTGTAATTAAATACATAAAATATTTATTATATCTATACTGACATATCCCCATTTAATAGAAACACTTCACATCTCTAATCGTGGTTTTATATCTTGGGCTGACAGGTTGGTTTCCCCACTCGCTCGCTAGGTGGCGTCTGGTGCTCGGACGTCTGTCCAGCGGGTCATATATATTCGAGTGTCTCGACGGCCTTCTTTCCTTTGGCTGCTTTTGTACTGAATCATTGCCTGCCGCACGTTTTGCACCGCCAAAAAAGCAAAACCGCTGACTGTCTGCCCCACTGTCTCATATTTTATCACAGCAGCCGCCGTCTCGAGTGGCCAAGTGTCTTGGCTAGAGGTTTTTGGCCAGGGTTTTAGCCACACTTTGGTTTTTTTCTTCGGCTGTGGCACATGCTCTAAGACCGCGCTCTTTCGTAGTATTTCCATTTCGTTTTTTTTTGGCACAGATTTACGACTTTTTATGCTGTTTTGATTTGTTTTTGCATAAGGGTGTTCACGTGGCCAAGAGTTGGGGACTGGAGTCGCAACTGTTTGGCCGTTTGTCTTGTCAGTGGCGTTGTAATTGGGTTTCAGAATATGACGGAAAGAGTGTTGCTAATCAGCAAATCAGACTTTGGCGTTGAGTAGACGAATTACAGCGCACTCGGGTTATTTGTATTTGGCCGTTGGTCGCTGCGAATGCCAAATAGGCGATTGGCAACCTGTTTTGCACATTCATTGAAAATGGAAAGGCGTTTCTCTGGTCCGCCGGCTGGACCATCAATCTTCAGTCAAAGTGTCGCCCAGGAATCGGCATTAATTTCCCAATTCTTAGCCAAACTCCTAGGGGAGTAAGTTGCTTTAGATGTCGCATTTACATAAATTATCTGCATTTTATTTCTCACATTGCGCCCTCTTAACTTTATTCTCCTATAAACCTATATTTTTATATCTACATGTCTCCATACCAATAACCATTAATACTTAAAAGGCGCTTTGGCGGAATTTTTGTGGGAATATTCCTTTTCACTAATCAACAGCAGACATAACAAAATTAACCCATAAAAAAATGTAAAATAAATACAGTTAATACTGGTACGTTTAAATGGTTAACGACTGGTGTGAAAATAGCCGGAGATAATAAAAGATTTCCTTGCTGCAGGCTCGTCGGTTATTGCCAATTTAATTTAGAAGGTGACCACAGTTAAAAGTTAAGCACAGGTAACTCGAGAACAAACCTGGGCAGTTGGCATTAAATTAAAAAAATTAAATAAAAAGCAGGAAAAACTTTAACATATTTAAAATAAAAAAAAAATACTTTTCCATTAAATGTAGAAATTATATGATAGACGTTGTTAAATATTAATCGAAACATTTATGGTTTTGCAATTCTTTTAAGTTTGCGAGAATACTTTACTATCTTTGTTCACAAAGTTGTTATATTACTCGTTGTTCCTTTCAGCGCCCAACTTGTTGTAAAACATTTAAGGCCCAATAAATAGGATCTTGGCTGGCCAACAGCCCTGGGCAGGATCGATCGGCAGAGGTGAGGGGATGCAGAGGAGAGGATAGGAAAAGTTAGGGTGGGTAGGGCAGGGAATCATCGTCTGGCAGCTGGGCAGTTGCACTCGCCGCAAGTCGTAAGTTGGGCAGTTGGCCAGGTGCGGGTGCCCCACACACTCGCACACCTCGCCTGCAAACTGGTTGCCGGTTGGTTGTGTGGTCATGAGGCGAGGAAAAAGGCAAGTAACTGGCCAACAAGCGTGCCGGTTTTGACTCCTTGGCTATTTTTTTTTAAAGATCGTTGCGGCTATTTTGGAAGGACAATAATTAAAAACAGAAATATTAACAATATATATTGAAACAAATTACTTACAACAAAATGTGTAGTCTTCTTTATACTCCCAAAAAATTAATATTTACTTATTGTTTGAAATAAACAAGCAAAACTTATTATAAAAAGCCCTGGTTTAGGTTTAGGCACTTAAAAATACATTTTCGCAAAAAACTCTTTTTAAAAGAGTTAATGGTTTATTAAGGTGGAATAATTACTGTAATTTAATGTCTGATTTGGCTACATTTTTGCACTCCCCAATGGCCAGCACTGCTGACTGCGGAGTGGCCAAGAAAGAGCTGGAGATCTCTGCGTGGCTCGGAACACACCCGCATCGCGGCAGCAGACAGGACTGAGAGCCAGGCCAAAACTCAGTTTAAAACCAGATTAGCGCCCAAGTCTGCGGCTAATTTTTGTCGGTGGGCCTAAGCAAATTTGAATTTGAATGTTAGCGGGTGATAGTCGCTGTTTTTTTCCTACTTTTGCCATTTGTTTTTCCTTTTTTTGTTTTTTTTTTTTTTGGTTTTGGGTAAGGAAAGACCACTTGGTCAGTTGGCAAACGTTGTCCCACAATCTCGCGCCGCTGGCGGGTTGACAGTCGGGTGAACCCCGCTCCTTGATTCCCCGCGCGCGGTTCCTGTGAAATATAGGATGACATGGGGCATGGTTATGGTTACGTGCATACAAAAGCCACTAAGCTGATTACGAAATGTTGACCTTTTTGCCGCACAAGCCCGCAACCCCGGCCACTTGTCAGCGCCTTTGGCGGAGGAGCCGCCGGCGAAAGGTTGATGTCAACTGCATTTTTTGGGGTCTCCACGGGAACGAAACCCTCGATTCCGGAGATAATTGCCGAGCGAATTGAGTTCGATTTAATTTGCCCATAATTCAGGTGGCTCCTGCTAATGGCTGAACGGGTGGTATTGTCGTCGTGAGGCCAGCACTTCCTGCTTATCACTTTGGCTATAAACTAGGCGGGAGTGAGCCGTAAATCGAGCACTTCCACTTTGGCAAACAATTTGCTCGAAAGTTTGTATTACTTAATAGCTGGCCCCACATGCGTGACTCACTCGATCGGCTAACAAACAACATTGCAGCACTTTTCTGCAAATAGTGAGTGTTAAAACTATCTATTTGTCTAGAGCAAAATGTTTGAAAAAAACCCAGAAGTTATTTGACAGACAGAGTGTAGGATTGTATCGATTATGACGCATGGAATCACATAGCAACAGTTCGAACGAAATATTTTTAGATCAAGAGCAAATACTAAACATATAATCAAACTCAACTCATGAAGAACTTATACAAAATATATATGACAAATATTTAAATACAAGTTTAAGTACAAATTAATCCAGTTACAAAATGTACTTTTTTGTCGCGTTCTTTTGTATTTTTTAAATACCCATGAAAGTGAAATTGTTAACTGAGTGTGGCTAAAGCTCTTCAGGACTCATCTGCATACCATCGGCAGCTGGTCCTGTGGCACATACCTGCGCACTATCCACTCACCCCGATCGAGTGGGGTGGAAATCACTGCCGAATCGGTGGGAAAGTTTTGCAACCCCTGAAAAGCGAAGCCAAGTGAGACAAAAGCACCGGCTCTGAAGAGGCGTCGCCGGCAACCTGGTGTCGGGTACCATTTACCATTCACCGGAGCACCAAACAGAGGGCACCAAACACCGGGCAAAAACCGGGTGCCTCTTCAAGGACAAACCCTACAATCCACCCCATGCCACCCAGCAGCAGGCTGTTGCTGTTGCTTTTGTTGTTGTTGTTGTTGTGGAAGTTGCACGCTATAGTAGATTGTCCTGCAGCTGCGCAGTAAATCCCGTCCGACGGTGGGGTGGCTTTTAGTTTTTTTTTTTGGTGGGAAAATAAATCAGTTGAGTTCTCAAACATTGCTATGCTGATGATTAATTGCCAGCGATTTTTCGGAAACTGTACCTGATCATCTAAGGCGGAAAATGTGCACCGGAATTCGGCGGCCTCATGTTGCTCTTTTCAATAATTTTGGGCCTGCTTAATTTCTGTGAGAATGTTCATTTGATTTTGTAATATTTCTAGATCGCTGCATTCGTGGATTTGCTCACTTGGAAGGAGCAATCAAGTAAAATGATTTGATTTCAAAGAAAAGGATTTAAAGGAGCATTCCGACAATTAGTCGCTACTTTTGAATTGGTTTTAAGTTTCTGGGAAAGCTCTGCATGATACCCGCTTAAATGCAACAATCTAGGACTCCCACTGGTACTTCATTTATTGAGGTGCAATGGTCCGAAAAAGTTAAGGAAACGAGCCTGGGAAATCTCTTACATTTATCCCGCATTTTAAAAGAATATTTATTTAACAAAAGATGTTGCCAACAATTGGTTAACTAACGGGAAAATGAAGTCAAGTAAAAGTAAACTACGATTACACCCCAAGACTTTTTCACAGGCCATGACTTTTACCGACAAAAGTCCTGTGACAAATTTGATTTTGAAAAACAATCAATTTAATCAGCACATATTTAAATTTCATATTTTTCGCTGGCTTCAATTCTCGCCACCGGCAACATTTGGCACTGTGGCAACTTTCCTTTTTCAAATTGGGAGTCATCGGGACAAATGGTTGCGCATGTGCGCACCATTTATAAAACCAACAGCATTATTCAAACGGCAATTGGCCAACAAGAAAGCCGGGCCCAAACCTATCCTTGGGCCATTTTGGAAGCACTTGCAGCGGATTTCATTCGGAGTGGGAGTAACGAGGCCGTTCGATTTCAACTGACAAATTCGCACTCATTTATTGGCGGCGATTTGGTTCGACCTATCCGATTGTGTAGCCACCACCAGTTGCGCCGTGTCGGTGTTGCTGACTTGACCTGGCAGAGCACAGCAACACTTCAGCGAGTCGGTGTACTGGATCAAGCCGTACTTGCCCGAGATCATCCAGTTCTGATCGGACCGCAAAAGGGCATCTGCCATGCCCTCCGGCAGTCCGCAAACCACTTCGCATTTGACCGTTCGCAGAGCACACATATTTGTGGGTCGAAAGCCTCGCAGGCAGGTGATGAACTCCTCCGCCGAATCCCAGATGTAGTCGCCCAACAGCTTTCTGTAGTTCAGGTCCCCCTTGAAGATGGCCAACTTGGAGATGGTAAACTCGCGATAGAGCTCCAAGTTCGATTCCACCATCACGAAATAGGGCTGCGGTCCTGTCCAGAAATACGAAGGGGGTGCTACTACGATTTTTCTTGAGCTAAAGAGCCGATCCCACTTTTTACCCACCGACGAAAGGCACTCGTCCTTGTGCTTTTTGAGAAAGTCTATAGTCCATTCGACATCCGCGTGCGTGACATCGGATATATACCACGGAATGGCCTTGACATGCAATCTCACCTGGTTGGCCAAATTATTATCGATCAGATACTCCAGCAACAGCATGTCGGTGAAGAACTCGAAGCCACCATTATCACAGATGTAGTCCACAATGCCGTCCTTCTTCTCCTTCATCAGACAGTTCCACAACAACACCGAATCGTCGACGAGAAGGATCCTGTCGATATCAGCCACCTGAGCCAGGACACCGATGTCGTCCTTGTTGTCCTCCTCCGAGAACTCAAATCCACTGAATTGCATATCGAAGTGGTTGCCCCAGAGGACGATCCGCAGCAGCTTCTTGAAAATATCAAAGCTCCTGGCCAATCCTCGTGTGGCTCTGGCCAACACCCTCATGGACACCTCGCTGATCATCAGATCCTCCTGCTTCAGAGTCGCAAAGCAATCGTAGTTCTGCAGGAAGTGGCTGTTCTCGAAGAAGGACGAGATGCGCCGGTACAGGTAGCACTCGGAGTGAAGCCAACAGGCGCGGAAGAAGGTTCTTTTCGGGCGAGGGAGCTCTGTTATGAAGGCATTCCACTCGGCCTTGTCCGGTTCGGCGCCGTGGAAAAGCAGAAACTGGCGATCCCGATTTAATTCCAACTTCAAACGCTCAACGGCATCCACAATGTGGCTGATGTCCTTGCGCACCTCCTCGCCGTACTTCTCCACCAGATCGGGAGCATCGGACATCACCCTCATGATGATCTGCTGCATGATACCAGGCATCCGGGTTCTCAGTGTCAGATAGGCAAAGCTCTGTTTGTACCTCCCGGAGAGAAGGGAATGACGCGGAGTCGGTCCATCCATGACGGAGTCGAGGGACCTATCCGACTGCGTTGAGATACGCCAGCCCATCTTGTTCAACTTAAATTGGAAAGCCATTTTGAATTTTGTAGTTTCACCGGAAGAGAGAAAAATAGGCTAAAGAAGCCTCGGGCAATTACTAAATGTGATTAGAAAATCAAAAGTACTTTTCATCGGTTAATTATATTTGGTATCAAAAACTCTATTAATATTTATTGGAGTGTTGTTTTTGCAGTAATCATATTCTGTTGATAACCAAATGCAAGAACTTGCTATCGTGTTAAAGCTTCATAAAAAACATAAAAACTAAATAAAGTGCTTTTCCCGCTTGATTTCAACTCCAGAGTTCATATATCGTTCTTCGCGGATCTGTGATCTCCACAAGGGAAGTAACCTGAAGATGTCCCCACATAAACCAGCTAAGTACTGTGGGAAAGATCTCTGCATTAATGAGATCCGACTTCCCGTTTCCCCTTCTCTGAAAAAACATCTTCTTCCTTCCGCTGCCCAGGTGTTATCCGCATCGCGGCATGTCCAAGTGTAATTTACACGGTCGGTGGCAAATAAAATTAGCATATTCCTAGAATTCTTTCGCCCTTGATCCTTGATTGCATCCGGTTTGCGATGGCATCGCGTTGCAGTCTCGGAAAAGTGAAAATCATAGCAATGGGTTGAGGGTTGGGCCAGGGTTAATGCATTTAGCATAATTGTCACATGTTAATAAACAAGTCCGCGGCACTGTGGGAATCTAGTTCTTGGCGGGGTTAATTCTATGCAAATGGAGCAAGGTGTGCACTTCCTTTGGCAACCCCTTTGGATCCTACTATATACATTCCGATTCAATCGAATGTTTACGAACTGCGGATGACGCAAGTGTTCGGCCGGATCGTTCGGTTTCTGGCTTATTTGCATAAGCATTTGCCAAAGGAAGCCGAACTGATATGATTTTATGTGTTTGCTAATGACACATCCACTCAAATTACACAGGAAAAAATTGTACGCATGCAAATAAATTTCCGGTTAAAATGACAAATATAATAACCTGCTAAATATTTGAGAGACTTCATCAAAACATATTGTTTATAATCCGCAGGGTTATAAAGCAGCAAATTCGTACTTTTTTAATATCAACCATTTTTGGCACCCACTTTTTACTGTGTAGCCACTTACCCCTTGTGATTTTTATGTGGCAGACACCGGTGCGTCAAAATAGTGGAAACTTGCGCCTCTTTATCGCTGGCCGTGCACCTTGGAGTCGTCCGATTCGCATCCAGGTGTTCTTTTCCAAAGAAATTGAAAACTTCCCCCGTGACAATCCGGTTCTAAGTTCGGTGGTGATTCCTTTCCATGGGATTTGCGACTCAAGGTGTTATGGTTCGCCATTTTCGATCCGGTGTTGCGTCTATCGTAAATTGCCGACGAAGACGTTACTTTTTATGTGTACTCTTTTCCTACCATAAGGTATTTAAAAACTGTAAACTAGTTTGAAATGAGCAGCGAAAATCTATATTATCTATATTATATTTATGAGAAAATCTCTTCAAATGTTTTCTAAATAAAATCATTTGTTGTATTTCATTAAACCCATTTTACAGAGTAAGTGTAAATTAAATTCGATCATTAAAACCAATCTCCCTTTCGTGTTTTGGGTGATTTTGGAGGGAGTTAGGACTGGATTGCGTTGCCTTGTGAAATGAAACCGAAATCGCCGAGCAGCTGCGCAGTTATTGTGGCAAGTTCTGGCATGTGCTCATCGCAACGCAATACGGTGTATTGTCAGTCTTTTATTTTGGGGTGTGGGGTCCGGAATCTATGACTGGGCATTGTTCGATTTCGGGAGCGCGAAATAAAGACCCAACCCGGGCAGATCGAATTAAGATCGAACGGATACCCAGTCACATGAAATAGCAATTCGGCGATCCTCCTATCTGGCCGTATTCAAATTATGTTCTGCCATAAAAATGCCTCAACTTTCACCCGGCCCAAAAAAGTGACAAAATATGGCTCACCCGGTAATTGCTCCCAGCAGATCAGTGAATATATTTATGTTATTGCTGCCCCCGATCGTTGCAAGTAAAAAATTGCATTATCAGAGTCATAAACAAATTAGGGGGCCCAACGAATAAAATAAAAAACCGAGAACGAAAGCGGAGAGAGCGGCAGCTGCATATGCATTCGTATGTGGACGGATAATCAAGGCTCAAGTGGCGGGTCCCATTAGCTGACACCGCAGCCAGGGAAGTGCACACAATATTTTAGAAACAATGGCCAATGCCACACGGAGAAAAATAGTATTGACTGCACTGAGAAAAATTAAGATCAATATTGTTGTTGTGGCAAAGACTAAGATTAAACATACATTTATTAGATTTATTTAAAATGCCCCTTTAACAAGATTTAAAAACTCTAAAATATAACTTTCAGTACATGATTACATATTTTTTGTTATTTTCCCTAAAAATGTTTTATGTATGCTGTCCATTATAAAAATGTTGTTGATAGTCAAAGGATGCGTTAAATATTTTGTATATTGCATTTGTATTGTCTTTTGCTTGTAAATGGTTTTTTTCCTATGCGAACACTTTCCGAAATTCTGTATGTTTAGTCTACATGCTCCGAAATTTGTTCTCTCTGCAGTCGGAACTGCTAAGCTCGACAAGATTAATAACTCGCCGGCGCACGTTCAATTAATCTTTCGCTGCGCCCGCTCTGGATCCCTGGATGCATGGAGGTGCAACTGGAGCTGGCAGACATGGAAATCGAAGTCCCACCCACTGACAACTTAACGGCACGTCTCCGGAACGGATCCCCAAGATCTCCGATGGGACAGTAGCCGACAAAATGGGATGCCATGGGATGATATGAGATGGGATGGGATGGGATAGAAAAAGATGGAATGGCGGTGGAGGTGGGATCGTGTACCTGCCGCATCGTCAGTGTCAATTGTGACAGTGGCTGCGACAGACGCTCACTCCCCGAAAAACAAACAAACGGACACGTATTCCCGGGGGGAGATGGGAAGTGGGTCCCAACGATCATGCCAAACATTTGCCCATGAACGTGACAAAACTGAAGAACACGCTACCGAGAGAATCCAGCTAAATTAGTTGTTTTAGCTGCGTCTAAATTTAGGAGACACTGCGACCCCTCAGCTCACTTCGAGATTTTGGGCGTGCGGCAATCCATTGGCCATAAATCAATTATACGGTCGCAGCCGTATTTATAGACCGACTTCTGGGCTTCTGTTCAGGTGCACGGGTGAGGGAATTTCCCTGCCGTATAGAGCGGCAATAATTTCAAACATTTTCATAGCTCAAATTTATGTAAATACAATGCCGACAGCTCGAATATGCTGCTGCGTCTTAAATTAGCATAAAATATAAATCGAATAACATTTGTAATAATTAGGGCGACATTTGCTGCCGTTTTCAACACCGATTTTTTTGCCAGAAAAAAATAAACGGGACACCTCCCAAGAGTTTTCCCTGGCACTTAATTCGTTTAATTAGCAATCCCTCGGGCGAACAAATACTTTTTGACTTCATTATGGCCAGGGAATAAAACTGAAAAACATGCGAAAGCTGTCAGCTTAGTTGATGCACCCTAAAAGCGTTGGATTACAAAGGACGAGAGCCCACAAAAAACACGAAAACAAAAGCAAATGAGTCTGAAATTGCAGCAGCACTAGCACCACCAGCCCAACCAACTCAACCACCATCCTTCTGAACCACCAGCACGCAACTTGACTCCTTCCAGCTCACCACAGAAAAAAAAAGTCGAGGAAAAAGTGCAGGAGCAGTCGAATTTTATTTGAATTAGCAACGCGCAATCAAAAACATTCAAACACGCATAAATTGAATCCCGTGGGATGATTTCTGTTTCGGGTTCCCAGTGGCGGTGGCAATCCCCTCGTCCTCCTGCCAGCAACTTGTCACGTGATTCCAATAACAAATAACTCCGTTCAGGGATCATCCCTTAGTCCTGTAGCAGGACTACAGCGAAATCCAACCGGAACCCGTATTTCGCTGAGCGTGGGTAAGTTATTTATCGGTCAGAATCCTGCAGGGAGAAGCTGTGGACCTCAACCTGACCACCCCTCCTCCTCCTCCTGCAGGAATCCTCCCCCTTCTTCCAATTTTCTCACCGTCTCTGCAAGTGTAAATTGCTTCGGTCATGGGAACATTTGCACTCCGTAATGGAATAGTAATATTCTATATTAGATACTCAATGGGCCTTAATTGATTGGCCTGCTTTGAGGGTTCCTGTGTAGTTGAGGAACTAAGTGTGGTTATGACATTTAATCAGTAACCATTAATAACTAAATGAGTAATAAAAACCAATTAACAAGGTATGATAATTAGAAAAATAGATATAGTTCTTATTACAAAGTACTCATAAATATTTGTCACATTTATTGGTCTTAATGGAGAAATTAAGGTAGTTATATTTTTTTCTTATAATATGCAATCGAACCAAACTGCCACATTATCATTTTATCGAGTGTATTTTTTTCTTAACTGCCAAGTGAATTAATCCAAAGCGATAACGAACTTGAACTTCAGTTTGCCCTTCAACTTTAACGCAAAAACACCGCAAAGGATGTTTGCCATTGATAAGTAAATTAAATTAAGCACCCCACGGAAATTTTCCCAAGATGTGCGAATATGCAAACATATTTGCAAGTGATTCAGCTTTGGCCAAATTTGTTATTCGGTTAGCAACCAATAAAGCGGTGAATATTTCATTTTTATGATGTCTCAACATTGCATTAACATAAACGCTGATGCTAATCTTTTTTCCCATGAAGAACCGAAGAAACATAAACAATTTATTATCGTGATTCATTTATGAAAATAAAATCACAAGCTCGCTGCTGATTATTAGTTGGAGATGAGAGCGCCAAAGCTACCGATCAGCGGATCGATCTATCTTTCCAATGCCAAGCGGGTGGTCCAAAGAAACTGAACTTTATTTAAGCACAGAAACAAAATTTAGCTTTAAATAAGTTTTCAATTTTTATTGTTTTTATTTGCACAGTACTACTTAAAGGCCGCGATTATTTCCAGTAATTTTGCAAATTGGTATACAAATATATCTTACAAATTTAAATAAAAAGTTGATAGTCTATCATACCATTATGTTACAATTTAATTTCAGTGTGGCTGACCACAAAGACTAGTAACTAAGCTTCTTCCCAGCAGATTAATATCTCAAGAGCGCATTTTAATTAGCGGCGATGAAGTCGAAACTTAATTTATTGTCACTTGGACTAATGAAACACGCCTCGGAGTCCCGAGCTTGGGGTTTTTCGACCGCACATAATTGACCAATTTGTTGAGAGTGTGTGTGTGTTGAGTGTGGTGTGTGGTCTATCTTATCGCACAGAACTCGAAGCGCACACGCTGTCAATAAAACAAATTAGTTTGAATTATAGACGTAGCTTCTATTTTTTAGTCGCATCGCAGTCCGACTAATTTATGCGGCGTCGGAAGCTTCAGACCGATGTCTGCTTTTATTCGATTATAATTACCGTTAGCGGGGTAGAACACGGCCAGATAATAATATCGGATATCAAAAGCGGCGTTTATGCTCGCTGACCTGGAGCTTCCCCCGCCGTATCAGGCGCCAATAGTTCTAAGATCTTGTTTTGATTGCAGCTCGGTCTGGGCGACGTCGCATTTTTCTTGTATTTTTTCTTTTTCTTTTTCTTGTATATTTTTCTTGTATTTTTCTCCCGCATTGTCTGCTCAGTGGCTTGAAAAACCTTCAGCTCGTGACAATGTGAGACAAAAGTCGGCGTGTGGCTGTGCGACTGTGGCAAGCGGGGCGGCCTGGATCCGATTCGTTTTGGATTTCTGCATACTTTTTTTTCTGTATTTTATTTGCTGCTGTTGTTGTTGTTGTTGTATTACCACCGCCCGACTTTCTTTTGTACGCTCCCGAGCACAGCTGCAGATCCTCAGATGCCCCGATCCGCAGATACTCGACAGCTAGCTAGCTGGAGTTAGCTGACTTGCCACCTTGACGGCGGCAAATTAATGACATTTTGCACTTCATTATGCGACTCTGTGCGGCCGTTTGACACTTTGAAGTGAGGCACTCAGCTGTGGAGCAGTGGAAGTCTGTGTGGGACAGTTAGCCTTTGCGGTCTGCCTGCCAGGTGATGTGCAGTTAGCTTTTCCTCGCTTTTCCAGGGTTTGATGACACTGTCCACATTGTTGCGGAGCTATGGTTTTCGCCTGGGCTGACCAAGCAGAAGGTGAAATTGGCCATGGTCAGAATCGAATGAGCATAGGCAGATGGTTTATAAATTGATTGAGTTACTTGTAGGGGTCAAAATGATGGATTGCGAAGGTATTTGAAAGGTTTTACAGATCAAACTATAACGGAAAGGAATAACCCTGTTCATTTCAAATAAGAGTTTTGGTTACATTTATCTGAAAAATAGAGTTTTTATTGCATGCAGAGTTGAGATCGTTTTCCAAAAAAATCTAGTTTATTTAAATTTATTCTTATATCCTTTTTTATATCCTCTGTAAATTCATAGAACTTAAAATGTTTTATTTTGAAATGATGAACCCATCTCAAAATAATGCATGCGCTATTTTGATCTCTGCATTCAAAAATCATTACATAAGATCACCTAACAACCCATCAAAGAACCATTAATGCCTGCACAATTGGAACTGCAGTTAATTTAAATTCAAATTCACTTTTCAATGTGCTATCAATGATCTCCAATTATTGTTAACGTTACAATGATCACGAATACAAAAATAGATCTAGAGAGCTGAGCACACCGGTTCGTTACAGGATTTTGGCGCGAAATGCTCGTGGCACGGAATAATCAGGACCAAGACGAAATCAGTTCCTTGTGGTACGTGTCACAGTCGGCAGATGTGGGAATGGCCGGGGATCGGGGGCTGCGACTCCTTAGAAGACGCTCGACGAGGGGTTGGCCAGGAAAGTAACGTCCAAAACTGCAGTTCCACCACCATCGTCACCATCGGCATTATTTTTCGATTCCAGCGAAGGTTGTCTGGTGATGCTGTGGATTTTTGGGGTGGGACAACTGCGCCAGGTAGTTTTGCACGAACCTCTCTCTCTGTTTTTTTTTTTTTTTGGCGCATTCCAAGGCACTCGGCTCCGATCGAAAAATAAAAGCCAGGAGTTACCTGGTCGGAGCACATGCCCCTTTTTGGGGTGGAATTGGAGGTTTCAGCCAGATGGCGAGATTCTTCAATATCGGGAATTGAAATTTCATGGCCGTTAGGGGTTTATTTCCACCGAGTGCACCTATTTACCAGGAGGAGGAGGAGGAGGAGGACCGGAACAATGCTCCTGGAAAGGTTGATTTACCTTAGATCTGCGCGCTGTTTGTCCCGGTGATTAATATTTTTGTGGACGTCTGAGTGGGTACATTGCATTGTTGTTCGGTTCGACTTGATGGCGGGGCCAATGTCACGTGCTGATCCTACGCAGCTGCCCCCTGGAGAGGATCACCCCGATAAAGATCAGTCGGAAAGCTAAGTGCTGTTTTCCGTGAAAAGGTTTTTTGCATTGTTAAGTGTACGGAACAGCGGGAGAATCTATTTAATGAAAGAAAAGCTTTGGAAAAGCTGGGACAGGCACGTTTAAATAAACCAAAACTATTGTTTCTTTTCAATTCTTACAATTGTTTTTAACTTAACCTTTGCTCTAAACGCTATGGTTTCAAAAAATCAACATATAAATTTTTAAGATTAGTTTATAAACAATTAAAGAAAAACTGTTAACAAATTATACACAGATGTATACGAATCTTACTCTTGGTAGCCCCGAGCTGTTTTCAAGAAAAATATTAAAATCCCGATGATCTCTTAAGATTTTTGATTATGATTGGCTTTGAAGGCTGTGGGTATTATTTCCCTAAATTAAAGATCTGGAAAATCTTTTGACTCGCTTGTCGTATTCCGTCAGTGGAAAATGTCATCGTTTGAGCCAGGCTTACCATTATTCGAAAAGTGAACATTAGGCCAATAAGCGGCTTAGGCAAACGATCTCTGAACGATCCTCTGAAGACCCCAGAAAGCGATCTCTTAAAGCAGTGGGACGATTGAGAGTTGGAACAAGAGCGCCCCCCAAACAAAGTAAAGAGAGTGGATAACAGTGGGGTCTCCCAGACGAAGCTTCTCTTATCGAAGCCCCAAAGAGCAAGCTCACCTGCTCTTGAAAAGAGAACCCACCCGAAAGGTTTATATACAAGATACAAAAGCGATCGTATGAGGCGGACCCGAAAGAGGTTTATAAATAAACTTGCTGTGCCAGTTGGTCGGGTATGTAGATATAGTAAGCTCGATCGCCACCAGCTGCCGCTCACTCACACCATCGCAAATCAGGGGAAATACGAGCTGAACCAGAGAGGCAGCTGGTGGCGATCGCCGAGAGGAGCAGACAGAGTGAGAGAGCCCCGTGGCACGTGCTCGCTTTTTACACACTGATTTTTGCCTCTCCTCTTCCATGTCCCTACCTCTCCCTCTCACCACTGGAGTCTCTATATATCGTACCCCCGTGTTTCCCGATCTGCAGCTGTACGAGCATATCTGCGTTCAATGAACGCACAGCTGTATGATCGCTGAATGGATCTTTGGCTCGTGGTTCGGGGTGGATTTACAGAATCCCGGGCGACATCGGAAGTAGGTAAGGATCCTTTTTGCCCAAGGGGGTTGATCATCATCATCCTGCCAGGGGGTTGATCGGGAGTCTATAAAACCGAACCGATCCTCGCCGGGTTGCATCATTCGAGCAAGGATCTCCAAGCGATCGAGACGCGTGTGGCGAAAAGCAAATGAGTGAGCAGTGATTTAAGTTCAAAGATCAGTATTAAATACAAAACAAAGATCGTTGGATCAGTGATTAGTGATCGTAATTAATATATACGAAACAATAATGGATAAACTCAAGTACAGCCGCTGTCCGCTCAAGAAGCGTCCGATAATGGTGGAGGAGTCCTGCCCAGAGGATCACTTAAGTCATGGTAGGTTTTTGGCTTAGCCTCCTGAGAAACTTTCATGAACTAACTTAATTTTATTTTTTCGTAGATGAAGGTCCTGTGGACTTAAGTGTTGCCTCCGCTGCAGTTCCCATGGAGCCTCATTGGAGTGCAAAATCGGAACCGGAACCTCAAGCTGTGCCCCCGGAATTGAGACGCCGCTTTGATGCCGCCATGAATCAGACCAAGGAGCAGTTGGCCCGTCGCATTTGGGAGGAAACCCGGGAAATAGCACGCGCTTTTCCGGATGTTTTCACACGCGAGGAAATCGCCAAGAGTCTGGCTCGCTTGGGTTACGGGGAATTCGAATTGCCACCCGAAGAGGAGGTAATGGAACCCGAACCGGAACCAGAACAGCAAATTCCATTGGGATATGCCAGAGAAGCTAATCCCACCATCATCAAAAGGGAACCCACCGAAGAAGAGCATTTCCCCCTGCGAAACTACAACAATAACCTACTGAAAAGCATAGCCGAGTATGAGGATTGTATGAAAATGCAACCGATTAAAGAGGAAATAGTTCCGGTTCCACTACCACAGATGTACTATCCACCCCCGACTCCCTTGGCCGAACCAGAAGATCTCTCGGTGACCCAAAGACGAGTGCTGAGTGAAAATATGAATCTGCAGAATGTGGCCAGAGCTCTGTTGAGCATGCAGCACATGGCTCCCCATCATCCACCTCCTCCGCAGGACATGGAGGAGGATCAGGAGAATCAGGACATGAACCAGCTGAAGATCAAGAGCAGCAATGATCTCTACTACCAGTGCCAGCAGTGCAACAAGTGCTATGCCACCTACGCCGGATTGGTGAAGCATCAGCAAACCCATGCCTACGAAAGCACCGAGTACAAGATCATAAGGAGTCAGCCTGGAGGATCGGGAGCTATAGTGGATCAAACTGAATTCTGCACAGATCAGGCTTCCGCTTTAATCCAAGCAGCCAATGCAGCATCGGCGCAGAGTATGCAAAAACCAGTGGGAGTGCCGAGATATCACTGCCAGGATTGCGGAAAGAGCTACTCCACTTACTCAGGACTCTCGAAGCATCAGCAGTTCCATTGTCCTTCGGCGGAGGGAAATCAAGTTAAAAAGGTGTTCAGCTGCAAGAACTGCGATAAGACCTACGTTTCTTTGGGAGCTCTGAAGATGCACATTCGCACCCATACTCTGCCCTGCAAATGCCCCATTTGTGGCAAGGCCTTCTCGCGACCTTGGCTCCTCCAAGGTCACATTCGCACCCACACGGGGGAGAAACCCTTCAGCTGTCAGCACTGCAATCGCGCCTTTGCGGATCGCTCGAACCTCCGAGCTCACATGCAAACGCACTCGGATGTGAAGAAGTATTCCTGCCCCACCTGCACAAAGTCCTTTTCGCGGATGTCCCTGCTGGCCAAGCACCTGCAAACCGGATGCCAGAGTGAGCAGAATGGTGGTGCCAGTGGGTCAGGAGGTGGCTTCGATCAGCAGCAGCTCCAACAGCACCTGCAGGACTACGAAGAGGGTCACAATCCCCACCAGGTCTACTATGCCGGCAGTGTTGGCAGCAGCAATGGGGAAGAGGAAGAGGGAGGGGAATACTCCATGCCACCACCAGCCATCTATTAATCCTAGGATAAAGAAACCATAACCTAAGTCAGTTTAGCCAAAGTCAGAAAAGTCCGATTCAGGGAAAAGTCAGTGCCAAAAATTAGTCAGGGCAATTTTATTGCCTCTTAGGGTCTGTAGTTAATCAGAAATATTTATTTAGAGTTATCGCTAAATTATTCCAATAATCATATCGCAGTTGAGAGCTTAGTTATAGATTGTTTTCGTTGACAATTACTTGTATTATATATCGTTGTTATTACCCTTTCGCGTACAAATCGAAAAGGTGCCCGAGAAAATATCCCATTGATGCCACATACCAACTTATAATTTAATTTTATAATTTATTTTAAATTATACTTTATGTTTTAAGCTTTGTAAATATGGTGGAGGTACCCATTACTTGCATGTATTTAATTTTAATTTTTTTTAAAAAGAATAAAAAAAAAGAAACCGAAATTTAAAGTTGTTTTGAGTTAAAGGGAAGTAATTGGAGGTTAGCCATATTATCTTTCTCTCACAAATACGAAAATCTTTGCAATATCTCTAAATTTATCTATCGGATGCACCGCTCGAATCGCATCACAATCTCAAAGATGCAATCTCGGAAAAGCTTTGTAGGTGTCGTTAATTTATCGCTGCACTCGGAAAACCCCCAGAAATCGAGACATTCAACCGTCAATAAGACTCAATGGGGGGCAAAAAAATGAGGAAAACCAAGTATATATATGAAGCCGTTTATATGTATAGAAATGTATTGAAAATCGCTGCTTAAATCAAAATTAATTGCCAGAATAATAATTGTTTTGAACGTAAAGCGCCGAAATGCAAACGGCAAACCGGAGGAGAATTGGCGCAGCTGCAATTGCAACTGCAACTGCGACTGCGTCACCGGCAACCAGCAACACAACAACACAGCAACCAGCAACTAGCAACATCAACATCAGCAGCAGGCGGCAAGCGCCAACAGTCTAGTATTTTTGTGGGCCTGTTGCAGTTGGCGAAATCCACTCAAAACAACAAGCCGAGCGATGAATCATCGATTTTTGTTTTCGGCTTTTCAGGCAGCAAGGCAAAAAGTCAACAAAGCCGGCTCTTGGTGCAGCCGCACGCAGCTAGATGGCGCTAGTGGGCAGCCAGCCAGCCAGCCAGCAGGCAGGCGAGCTCAATTAAACGCGTTTTCCAGTTGCCGCGATCTTGCCGCTTTTCCGCACTGCAGCCCAGCCGCACCTTACTTTGTGAAGCAAATAATCTCCCCGCATCCCCCCCACAAAACCAGCATCCCCGTCCAAATCTCAGGCGACCCGCTCAACTCACTCGCATTATTATAAATGCCGTCCACGCAGTTTCTAACGCTCTGCAACTTCCAGTTTACTTTTTGTTCATAAGTTTTATGCTCTTATGAGAACTTGGGGATTGGAAAATTGTTTAGCGATTTCATAGGCTGTGCACCAGACTACATTAATATAACAATTTTTACAAAAATATTATTTTGTTGCTTATAAAATATAATAACACAGGTTAAGATAAAAGAATACATTTAATAAATCATATTGTTGAAATGAACTCGAAATGAAGTTAATCATGTTTCATGTTTTTCAAAGCATTTGTTCAGTTGAAGATTATATTCATATATATTTTTAGAAAACAAACTATGCAGTGTAAATCTGAGTTAAGACCTAATAACATTTTTATTACATTTTAAAAAATTATCCTTTCCAATATTAAGAGGGTATCATGAGGTCGCATTGCAACCACTTCCTTCCGAGTTCAACTGTGCCGAGCGGTAGCTTTTTGGTCTATTAGGAAACCACGCCACAGAGCCGCCACTTGAAAGTCATATTGCATTTGCCAGACAGCACTCGCCAGAACCGGGGACAGCCTGATTTTTTTCTACAAATATACAGCTTTTTATTTTGATTTTGAGTGCGCGTGCTGCCGTTTCGACGGCCCCGAGTGCCACGCCCCTTTTGGGAACGCATGTGGCTGACTCGGCTGACTGGGCTGACTAGGCCGACTGGGCTGAGTTGGCCGACAGGCGGTTCTGTGGTAGCGGCATTTGGTCAAAGGTTAAATGAGACGGGGGCCTGGTGACAAGTGCCAGGCAATCGTTTAGAGCGCTAATTTATGGCCCGCCGAAATCCAACAAAATGGAAAAATCAAAGGCCGAAAAAGCAACCGAAAAGTGTGTTTTTCACTTTGCTCGAGTTACGTTTATTGCGGCTACGTGCAGAGCTGGCTTAATTGGCAGTCAGTCGGTTGAAACAGCCAAGTTTTCCGATCCGTTTCTCCGTTGGCCAGCAGCACACGCCCTGTTCTTTTTCTAATTTTGGGCCCGGCTTCCTCGCCGTGGCAGTTTAATTAATCTCCGATCGCCCCAAGTTCGCTCAAAATGCATTTTGAAATGCATTTTTATCCTATCAAAATTATTATTATTTAAAGTCAGATATGCAAGGCACGTTTTACCATAAGGTGGCCACGTTTTCGTTGGCCATTAATATTTAATAATTTCAATCGGCACATGAAACAAATTATGGAATATTATCAGGCGCCGCAGCTGTACACACAAACAACGGCCATTGTTTTTGCCTTTGTTGTTGTTCCTGTTTTTTTTTTATCGGCTTTGGCTAATAGTATTGTTGTTCTTGCTGTTGTTGCTGTTGTTGTTTTTATGGCCACTAAGCTGTACGTGTTGTTTGCTTAACGCGCCGAGTGTGAATTAATATTTAATTATGATTGTTTCGAGCTCGGGCCGCTGATCGTGTGTTGAGTAAACGCCATTTTCTGTATTAAGATCTAATCGTCATGTTTCTCAAATGCTGCCAACACAAAACGTTTAGGCCAAGTCACTCGTGCTTGGGTTTGGGAAATCGATTTTGGCTCTCGCCTAGATTAGTTACATTGTGCAATTGTTTGGGGAATGGCAGTAATAGAATCATTGGGTGCTTAAATGAGTTAATAATTGAACAAAGAAGTTAAAGGAACGACTTCTTAATTTATAACTTAAATATATTTAGCGAAAAAAACTGCGTAGCATTAATCATTCAACGATTTGATCACATTTAAAATACAAATATAAATAAATACGGATTAATTCTAATGAAAATAAAACAGCGGCTTTCATGTGGCTTTTTAAAAACCCAGTTTTAGCCATGTTCTTTTGCTCCAAGCGATGCTGCATGTGAGGAGAAGTGAGTTGGTCGGCTGACAGCTATGATTAGCCACGAGCAAGACAATCCGGGCTGTCCATAACTCATGCCACACACACAACACTTCAGCGGAACTGGTCGAAAATAAGTCTGGGCCAAGTCATAAATCCGATGCCGTGCACTCGTCGACGTCAAATTAATCAAAAGGAAACCAAAATGCAGCGCAGGCAAATTAGCCATAACAAAACCGAAGCGAAACCGACACAGAACCCACAAAAAATAAAAATACAAAATAAAAGCATCAAGTGGCAAAAGCCAAATGAGAACTTTTTTCCCACACTGCCAGGCGATCAAAGCGAACCGAGGAACGAATTCGACAAACAAAAAAATGAGAACCTTTTGAACAAATCACATGCAGACAACGCCCCTGAAATGGAATCGATATAATTATTTGCATTATTAATAATTACCATTGTCTCGCTGGGATTTCGATTTATATTTATACTCGGATTCGGATTCGGTCGGCGATATGAAATTCAAATTCGAGTGCGTTGGCGTTGTGGCTTCGACCGCACACAGAACCATAAAGATTGGGTTTTGCACTCGTAATATGCTAAAGAACCGGCAAGGGAACGTTTGTTTTCGCGGCGGCTAATTAATTCAAACCGCAACGCAAAGCTTATAACTTCAATACGGAAATAAGCTTAATCTAAGCGGCGCAGCGAGAAAAAAGCAATTTGAAAACTTAATGTGGACTCCGGTTCGAATCGGACCTCGGATATATGGCACTGAGGCGCCAGCGGCGAAACAATTGCACCGAGCTCTGGTTTTGGCCATACGAGTATCTGTGTGTGTGTGTGTGTGTGTGTGGGCCACCCACACCGGGCAAATCCGGACAAAAAACAGAAATCCGTCAACGGGCGACAGACAGCGCATATCAAAAAACTCAAATGTGTCTGAGCCTCCAAAGCCCATGAGGCAAAATCCGAACCCAACCTGACCGCGCTCCACGCAAAGCTTCAACTTGTCAGCGCGTTAAGTGCTCGAAAAAAGATATATATACGTATATATGCAAGAAAAAAAATAAGCAGAGTTCTTTTAAATACCACGAATATAGCTATGACACATTGTTCTTTTAGCGCCTCGCTTTTAGTTCTCCATTGGGCGTTCAACCCGCACATTCGATTTGTTGCAGAGCAACCTGTTGTTTTGCTCACTTGCCGCAGACAGCTGAAATCGGATTTATCTTATTACAACACACAAAAGGCGATAGGCAAAAGATTTAATTATGCCCGTGCCGCGTATTAGTTTCCAATATCTGTGGGGCACTTGAATGTGAGCTTTCTGAAGTGCAAATGCTCTATTTATTTTTAAAGTAAATAAAACAATGAAGTGATTGAACAGTATTATTATTTATTATTATTTATGATCTGGATACGTAAACATTGCATTCAAGACATTAAAGTTGTTTTCAAGCTATAAAACTTTTATTTAAAATTCTATTCAATTAGAAAACTTTTTCTAAACCTTTTTTGTTTAATATAAAATGAATAAAGCCAAGAAATTACTTATTTATCTGTTTTACTGTTAAGCTCTTGATTCAAAAATATATTTCAAAAAGGGTATTTCCTAGGCGTAGTTCAAATCCAGTACAATTGAGAAGGAGGCGTGGGTGTTCGACCCGCCGCCGTCGTCACAATTGAGAGGGCGTCAAAAGAGACAAAAGCCATCCAGTCACAAAATTGACATTTCGCTTTCAGCAGCAGTAGTTGCGAACAAAATCCACCGCACACCAAAAAAAAAATTAGGATGGAAGGGTAAAAAGGCAAAAACGGAGCGAAAAAATCATATTTTGCACGTTTTTTGTGTCGAGTGGCGACGAGCGAAACAAAAGACTTAGGCAACGAACTTGCCGCAAAGGGCTCGTCGTCAGCGGAGCGATTCGGTCGGTCCATCCGCCAACTCCACACTCCGCTGCAAAGTGTCAAGTTGCGCAACTTGTCAGCAAGTCTGGGGCGCTTTTTTGTTTTATGCATAAAGCCGTTTTTAATTAAACCGACGACAGCCACTAAACATGCCCCATTATCATGTCATATCTATGTGTACTATCTGCATGTGCCTATCTTCTGGCCAGAGACCCAGGCTTCAGACTCCCAGCTCCAATCCCGCAGATTCCAGACTTCAGGCAAGGATCGGATCGGTTTTTGGATCGGTTCGGCTTGGCACCGACTTCGGCTGTATGGCTATATAGCGCTGTACGGAGCGCTGACATAAACGCTGACATTAATTGAGTA